CCTATTGACAGCTGACAGATATCGGTAACCTTATGGTTATATTTCCAGTCGAACCCAAGTTTTCCAAAATAATAATCTCATCAAAATCAATGGGTTGCACGTATGGATGTTTACTCATTTGATTAAATCCTATTTCTAATACTAGTATTAATACCTGTAATATGTTTTTAATTTCAGTGAAGAAATTATAACAATTCTATCACTTTTATCAGTTGATAATATTTACTACATTCCTCCCAATCAAGTAATTTATCATTTTTATTTAATTTTAAAAATTGAAATCTAATTCAAACAGATTGTCTAATAGATTCAGATAACTGTAAGATACAGTTGTCTAATAGAATTGAAACTAAAATCAATTTTAAAACATTTAGAAAGAGATGGCAAACGAAGTCCTTAAGAAATTCATCTCAAGTGAAGGCGATTTTATAAAACTCTTAAAAGTTTACAGAAATTTTAAGGCATCCAAAGAAAATAAAGTAAGTTTTGTTCAATTTATAAACTACTGGTAGCAAACGAAGTCCTTAAGAAATTCATCTCAAGTGAAGGCGATTTTATAAAACTCTTAAAAGTTTACAGAAATTTTAAGGCATCCAAAGAAAATAAAGTAAGTTTTGTTCAATTTATAAACTACTGGTATGTGTTTTAATTAATTCTATTCATTGCTAGAAATGGTGTAAAGAAAACTTTATTCATATAAATAATATGAAATTAGCGGTTGATATTAGAAAACAATTATCAGATCTGTGTTCAAAAGCAAACATTCCGTTAGTTTCCTCTAATAATAACACAGAAGTGATCCGAAAGTGTCTGACCACTGGACTCGTGTTCAATACAGCTTTCCTTCAAAAGGACGGCACCTATAAAACTGTAAGAATCATATAAATCCAATAATTCTTGAAATGAATACTTAACTCCATTTAACCAAATATTGTATATACGGTATTACAGAAACTTACCAAAAATGAGGTGTATATCCACCCGTCCTCGTGTCTCTTTGGTTCAAAACCTGAAAATGTAATATTTAATGAATTGGTGCAGACATCCAAATGCTATATGAGGTTCGCAATCAATTAAGAAATCATATAATTGTTTAAAATTAATGTTTATTTTCTTAAATTATAGGAATATTACTGTAATCGACAAACAATGGATTTCTTAATATTACTTATACCGTATGATTGATTACTATTATTAAAATCATTAAAATGTTGTTTACTTTAAAAACTAAGAATATATTGTTTGTATTGAATTAATTTAAAGCAAATTTCAAACCATTAGAAGATGTCATCTATTTTGATGTACTTCTCGTTGACGCTCTGCAGTTGGCAGAGAGGTGACGAAAGACTAGGGTTTTTGAAGAAGTTTAAGAATTAAGAGAAGTGAAGTGAGCCGCAGGCTTATATCGTTAGCTAAAGACACAGTCTCTACAGAAAGTCGTCACTTTGTTGGCCACCAATGGCTGTGTCTGTCTGTGGCTGTGATTCGGTGTGAGATCTCTTGTGTTGCTTCCGCTTGAATGTGTTGATCCAATCGACTGACGTCTCGCTCGAGTCTGAGATCTTGGCCTTAAAGTGATTGTTGAGATCAAAGAGGAGTGAAGAGCAGTACTTCAGGATATCATTGATATAAACAGCGATATTCTGTTTCGTGAATTTGAATGTCTCTCTGCCGGGGATGCGTTGTCCCAACCGTTTCAATACATTGAAGATCTCACCGACTCTTTCAGAAACGGTGTGTTTGTATTCAATTGAATACAATCGACAGAACTCTGTTAACTTCACTTTACAGCGAATCCATGGCTTCAATGACTTCCACGCGAAATATGTCGCGCCGTATATGATGTGAACCGGAGATCGACCTAAAACTCGGTATAAAGTTAGCCATAGATATAGATAATGGTCTCATGTCTGGGCACACCTTCGATGAGCCAACACTCGCGCACAACACGGATCAGCTCAATAACCCGTTGGATCAGTTGTTCTCTCTCTTCGTCACCAAATGCCGTCTCTTTGAGAGTCACTTCAACCAACTCCTCGATAGCGATGGCCTCGTTCTTGAGGTGCGGGAAGTCTTTGATGACTTGATTGTAAACTTTGCCAAATTCATTGATATTACAGCCAATGGTGTTACAGATCTGAGTGATTGTCACCGGTTTGTCGTCAAAGACACTCAAATAGAGACAAACGGATGACAACAGGGTTTTGGTCTGTTTTCACCGCTTTAACTTACTTAACACAAAGTTTTACTTACGGTTGAACAGAAATCGGCTGAGAAACCAGCGAAGTGAGTTAACCTTCGCTTCTGTGTTGAGCAGCTAGTGAAGACACCGGCTGTATAGTGGAGATAATTGCGATTCAATGCAACCGATTGGAGGTAACGTGTCGTGTGTTTCAACACTTCATAGCATTTCATAGCATTTCGTCTAATTTACAGCTTTTGTTCAAATCTTACAAAACTGTCAAATGAAACAAAGTTTGTCATTGTATTGGTATAGCATAACCTAACCTAACCTAACCTAACCTAACCTAACCTAACAAGCAGTAGCACTCATACTGTATTACGATTGTGTCATATTCTATATGATTAATAACAATTTAGAAAATTGTATAGTTATCAATTTAGTTAAATATAAGTTAGTTATACTACTTAAATATCATACTGTACCTATAAATTATAGGTATATATAAGTTATATCGATATTATAGGCTATAATATTGAATCAATATTATATTGATGACTCACTTTTGATTGAATTTATTATGTTTATCTCAAATATAATGACTGTATTGTACCGTAACTGTAATTTGAGGCAAATTAATGTTTTATATGATAATAACATAACAACTAAGGGTTTTGGTCCAAAACTATTTATTAGTGATAATTTTATTACACAATTAATTAGAGATTTATTTACAAAAGTTTATCAAATAATCTAAATGTAAGTCAAAAGCAACAAAATAGAGAATAAATGCGATTAAACGGTAAATAAATGTGTGAACAATTCTAACTAGTGTAGCAGGTGACAAACCACTGTAGTCAGACAGACGGCAGCCCACGGTATATAAGGAGGCGAAAACCGCAGAGAAAGAATTGCTTTACGCAAAAGTTGCCTTAATTCAACACCAGTTATGTTATAGCCGAAGAGTAGAGCTCAGGTGACTCTTCTCGCAACACATCCAACGCTTTCTTCTGGGATCTGACCATCGATTTAATAGACTTGAGTTCCGCTAATCTCTGTTCACACCTATAGATTGACCACAATTTGGTCATTCGCTGCAACTCTTCATGCGGTTCGGTGTCCACGTGTGGTCGCAGTCTTTCGGACAATTGTCTCGTGATCTGTGGCGCCAACTGAAGCTCAACGATAGGCTTAAACTGTTTGGGAGTCCTCTCGAGCCGTTGGATCTCTCTCTCCAATTTCCTCACTTTCTTTTCCTCACGTTTTTTCAGTACTTGTGGATCGATTCGCTTCTTCTTCTTCAGCGGTTCCGCCAACAGATAACTTGTCGTAAATATGCCCCGATTTGGGACCCTTTGCACCAAAAACTTGTGTAAAGATAGCCTCAAAGAAGTCATTGTTTTTGATTCAATTGATTTGAAATGAGTTTAAACTTTAAAAGTAAAACCAAAACAATTGAAGTCGTGTTTAGTGTTTGCATTCAAACACACAATACGTCCAAACAATGCACTCATAAGTGAAACCCTTTTCACGAAATCTAAGCCAAACTCTGTGTCACTGAATGTGAACAGAAAACACATAATCTATGGATTGAATGCTTTTCGATGTTTTGGCGCTTTATTTGTCATCACTTTTACTGATATCTCACTCGAGAAGAGTTGCGACGAAGACATCACTCACTCAACACCACAACACTGGTCATCGATATATCACATGAGATCACTCATGGATTCAAATGGCAACCAATCGGATGACCAACAAAATGGCCAAACAGTGAGTGAAAAGTCTTCAGTTGAAGAACCAATAGATAACAAGTGGAGTGACAACGAAGTGAACAGTAAATCGTTGGACAAACCGGAGGCCAAAGAGGACCCGAGGTTTAGGAAAGTCGAGTCCAGATATAAACAGTCGACCCAACAGTGGGTCCACCGACGCTCCGATGACCTCCAGTTGAGACCAGATGTGGTGATAAGTGGCGCCACTGGAAGTCGAAACCGTAATCCGACGCCAAATGCGAAGACCAATAGACCGCTGAAGAAGGCGTCGACTCCGATGTCGACCGATAAGTCACTCAATGTTTCTGGCATTTCGGTCATCAATAAAGTGAACGGAAATCATGAATTGAATCCCAATTTAAATCTCAAGAAATACGGAAAGGGTTTGATTACTGGCAGGAAATCAATCGCTCCCAAGAAGTTGCCCTTTGGATCAGATGGCGATGCGAATGGTGTGACCTCTACGGCCACGAGTCGAGCCATTCCTATGGCTGTCGGTGCGGACAATGAGACCAAAATGAAAGAAATGGAGAATTCACTGCTGGAGTCGTCTTATTTGAATACACTTTCGCTGAATCTGAAGGCAAAACAAATGAAAAGCGAGAGAAACGACAACTCTTTCAATAAAATCTCGCAAATCTGGTCCCAAACCAATGAAATGAGAACTCAATTACTGGAGACACAGAAATGTGTTCTTTCGCTCCAGAATACCATCGAATCGACGGAAATTCTAGAGAAGCAAAAGAAGTCTTTAGAAGAATATTTAAAAATGAGATCACAAATGGATTCGTTGTTCAATCATTTGTCGGAATTGATTGTCGAACAGAAACTGCTTCTTAAGATTGAGAACTGCAGTCAACACGACTTCAACAAACTGAACGGTATTATTGATTCATTTCTGCCAATATCTGTCTTATATTTTAAGCGATTCTTTGCAGAACTGATGGAAACTTCACCGAATTCTTTACGGTTTGAATCATTCGATATGATATCAAACGCTTCCCTCAATATCGAGAAATCGGTGAATATTTACAACGAAATTAATTCAATGGAAAGTAAACTCAAGGAGTCGTACAAAATATTCACGAAATGTGTGAAAGATCTCGAAAAATACGAGCGAATTGCTAATAAAATGAATTCACAGAAAATGCCTTCACTTTCGAAACTCTTCTAAATTGAAATGATTTGAAACGAAAATGTTTTATAAATGAACTTTACTTTTAACATTACCATGTAGTAAATAATACATTTTAATACAAAATAATTTACAATTGGTGTCAAATTGAAATTAAACTTACGGTACATTCAAATATAACATTTATATAAACGTATAGTACCGGTATTATACCATATTAAGAAATGTATTGATGTGTGAATTGAATATAATCTTTAAAAAATAATTGCTTTATTCATTTTACAGATATTAATACCGGTAATTATTTATACCATATGTTGAGATTCAATAGGTTTGGAATCTTGTATTTAACAATTATTGGACCGAATACCAAAGTAAACACATTTTACAACACTTGTAATAACTTATATGAAAAATACAAAACTTTGTATGAAATGTGAATATCGGTAGAAATATATTATTTGTACAATTGGTCCCAAATTAGAAATACTGATTCATTTGTATTTGAATAACTTGGGCATACAATAAATCATATGAAACACGTTTTAAGACTTAAGACTAGATTTATTTGTTTGTGGAAACAAACACTTGGAGTCCTAATAGCCGTATTTGTTTGGGTGGCAGTGATTAAGCTTAAAATCTTTAGGATTTGTATACATTTGGTACACATTTGTTATGCGTTTCTCGTGATCTGTGAGTTCACTGTAGAAGGGAGAGGAAGCTCTGAGTTGAGTGGACGGCATGGCGGGCATGTGGGCCATGGATGGCATGCCAACCATATTGTCATACTTGTTGGTCAACATCTGATTGTATGCGAGACTCCCTTCTTGCGGCACACAACGAGATTGTTTAGCCGGCGATTCATACTCCGAGTGAGTGCTAAGAGTATTGGGTTCTGGCTTTTGGCACCACAGAGACATCCATATCATTACTGCTATTAATATAATAACCGCAACCGAGACAATTGCCACCAAAATAGGCATCGGAAACATATCGTCTTTCATGATCTCGCTCATTTCAGTTTGCTTTGGTTCTGAGTATTTAGATATAGGTTAATATCGATTGTTTGATTGTTTTCATTAAAAATTCTTACTGGAAGTGTACACCGAAAGGAAAGCACTCCGAAAACTGGTACCCATTGTATTGGCCCCTACTGTTCACATCAAGTTTATACAACATTAAAAATTTAATTCAAACAAATCAATTAACAATATACTTACAGCACACATACTTTCCAGCATCCAATTCATTGACATTATTTATAATTAGATTATTTGAAAACAATGTTTCAGAAGTTTGGATAATTTGATTAGAGTTTAATGTTTTATACAATTCTCCCATAACTTTGATGTAATGCTGCGATTCATCGCTCTTGACATCTCCGTCATAATCAGAGCTGATCTCAATCTTTTTGAGCCACTAATTGACAAAATTGTTAATGTGTTAAATATAGATATATTTTTAGGATACTTATATTTATGTCAAATTTATATTTATATAGAAAATACCTGAATGTGTGGCAATTCGTCTGATCTGACAGAACAGTGAAGAGTTAATGTATCACCTCTTATAGCACTTGAATTGCTCGGGTAATTGCCTTCAATTTGTGGCTTATCTATGAACTTATCTAGAATATAGTAATTGTAATATGAGACTACTTTCTTAAAACTAATGCTTCAAAAGTTTATTACCAATAACTTTGAGGACATAACTGCGACTAACAGTTCCGAACTGATTGGTGGAAACACAGGTGTAATTACCACTGTCTTCGGGCTTCAGATTATTAATTACTAACAAATTCCTGCCTTTTCTCGGCTCTGAATCGGAAAACTGTTCGCTATTATGAAACCATATGATGGATGGCTTTGAATCTCCCTTCAGATGGTCGACGCATTTGAATCTAATAGCGCTTCCAGTTTTCCGTATAATTATTTGTTGAGGAAATTTGTAAATGTGTGTGAATTGTGAATCACCTGCAAATTTATTTATATTTATTTTTTTAGTTACATATAGAGTAGATATTAAGTGGTGTTTGTCTATATATCTATAAATTGTGTATAACATTTATGTGAAATATGAATACTGTACACCAAGATTTAGACATTCGTTTCAATTATAGTATTCATGGGATAACGTTATTATAGACATAAATATTTATTCAGAGTAAAGATAGGAAAGTGAGAAATCTGTATGTTTTGTATATTTGTCTCATTATGTGAGCGTATGGCAAATGCTCTCAATATTCATATTTTCCATAAATATTTAGAGACGAGTATAGCGTTGAAGAGGAGAGGATGTACTTCACATCCCATCCCTTCATCCCTTCCATTAACACTAATATTTGCAAATATTTAGACTTAAACTCTATTTTCTTTCAAAAATATACTTATTTTTCGAGTACTTTATAAAAATGAATGAAAACAAAGCAATTTTCATATATGACACGAATTATGAATTAAAGCAAACATATGGCGAACAAACCTAAAGGATCTGAAGACTTGGTTATTGACGGCGATTCCAAATCGGAAACTCTTTTTACATCCTTTTCAGACACCACGTCGTCGTAGTCTTCATCTATTGATTCAATTGTTTTGGGTTACAGTTAAAACACACATGAATTTAGCATTTTATTCAAATTACAGCTCTAATTAATTTTGTATTAAAGAATAACTTTTAAAAACAGTAGAATTAAACATATTTTTTTAATTTAAGAAATTGTTTTCTATACAAACAAATCAAACAAACTTTTTTCTGTCCTTAATTAAAGAGCAGTCTATTTCCTAAACTCACATAATAAGGGATTTTGAGACCTTATCTCTCGAGCATTAAAACAAATGATCGTATTCTGGACCTATCGTAGGAATTACGGTAACTCTGTATTACAGATACTTTAAGTAATATGCCGTACAGTACTAGGCTTAACATAGGTTTAGTTCAAAAACAACACAAAAATTTATTCGTACTTTAATCTAATAATTCAATTATTCATTGCTTCCTAATTAGATACTGTATTAACAAATTGGTTTGTTTTATGTACTGATACATCATAAAATAATTATAAGGTTCAAGAATTTGATAAAAGTATTGTCAATATTATTGATCACAATATAGATGTATTTACACTCACCTAATACTATAAGGGTTATCAAGAACTCAACGCTTCCGAAACCATTTATTGCTGTTTTGCAAAAAAAATGTTATATAATATTATATTTCTACATAAAATGCATTTTTAAATCTTAGCCAACCTTTACATACGAAACGTCCCGTATCTTCAGAATTTGAATTCTTGATCTTAAGAACTCCGGAATCCGTTATTCGGACTCTTTTGTCAAAATATTCTATTTGTTGTCCATTTTTATACCATTCAAAGTAAATGTCTTCAGTGTCTGATTTTTCAACCGGACATTCAAGTGATATTGATGTTCCGGTTTTTATAATTTTTTTATTTTCAATGTTTGATTGTTTTGGAAGAAGTTTTGGTGGTTCTGCAAAAGAGGGACATTTCTTATCATATTTTGTTTTTAAAATCATTTATTTTATATTCAAATTCATATATTTTAATTTTGTAAATAAGTTTCTTATAATATTTGATTTATTAGATTTCTTAAATTTTACTCATATTTTTAATAACTTATTGTAATGATAAATTATTATTAGTTTTTAACTTTTTAAACAATAAGTGAAAGGGAATAAAAACATATTTTATTGTGAATTAATACGAAGAAAGAGTGAATAGCACTGAATGTATGGCATATCATATGATATCTGATAAATATTTGAGTAAAAGAAGTGATCGCTTGGATTAGTCGAAGGACTACTCAAAGGATGCAATAGATATGGATTGAAGCGCTGTAGCACTTCAATGCTTTTTATACACTACAGATAAGATTATTTGAGATTTGGTTTCGTTATTTTTTTTGTTAAATATTTCTTGAAATCGGTCTAAATAGGAGAGAAAATAAACTCAATACTGTATATCGCAAAAACAAATTAAGTCCACATAAACAGAATGGGTTTTATGAGACATTTGAGTAGTTTTGTAGTTAACTTAAGTGAGTTCACCATTAAGTAAAAGTTCTGTGACTCTAGACATCTGTTTTCAGATCTTACTTGCATTTTGTATATTTTATACAAATTGTTTGCTTTTAATTTTATTTAAATTGCTCAAAATATGTAAACAATTCAAATCTTATATTTGTTAAAAACTTAATCAATTATTGAACAATTTATAAATATTGGTTAAATAGTGTTCACTGTCAGTGACTAATAGCGAGTAGTGTTGATGTATTGAAAAGGAAAACAGTTAAGTAATTGATGTTCACTTGAATGACATCTTGAAAGACAAGTGGATTATAGAGAAAGGGGTGAACATTGAAAAGAGTTCTCCATTTATTCCATTAACACATTTTTGTTATAAGTAGAGAATAGTAGAGAATACACACCTGTTTATGCATTATTTGTATACCTTTAGGGTCTAAAGTATTAGTGCATAAACACAATCTTTCCATTAAGAGTAAGTACTGAATACCAGAATCCGTAACAAAACAACTCTGCAGTCTAGAAGACTTCTTATCCTCGAAGGAGACAAGAATTGATAGGAAATTATTATGAATATAATTGTACCCTAAATGTAAATGTATGCTAAACATAGTGAGGGGAGAACTAAGAAAAGGCTTTTAGTCTGTCATTGAATGGATTAAGCGGTAATTACTGTACATTTTGTTCAGTAGGTTATTGAATGGACTGAAGACTTAATTTGTGAATCTGTTGTTCGTATGACTATAGGACACAAAGGCAGTGGCAGTGCAAGTGATTTACCCTAAGGGCTAATACGCGACCAAATTAGAGACAATACCACTTCAATAAATAACCATTAAATTATAGAAATTCACAGTTTATAAATTGATTATTATTATTTGTAGTTTATATACTAACTCATAAGAAATTAATTGCTTAATATTTCAGGAAGATTTTAAATAGTAATAAATTAAAATTGTATAATAAATTAATATAATGTTTAAATAAAAAATTCCAAAAATAGAAAGTTTTTGAATAAACAGGATATATTATAATTTGTTATTATAAGAAATATTAAGAAAATTGCGTTCACATCAAACGACAATACATTTTAAGGTAAAGATTGTGTTTTTGAATATACATATAATTCTTATTATTTTGGTTTCATTTTGATAATTAATTTAAATTACATGTCTTTATTTTTTATATACCGTAAATGCTAATTAAATATATCAATTTTATATTAATAATTTAAAAACTTATTGTAGATTCATTCAAGATAAAAGCTTTAAAAATATAAATTATAGGAAAATTTATACAAATTAAACACATAAATGAGATTCATAAGTAGGAATAACTCTTACCATTATATGTATGACACAAATGTAGTAAACAAATAAGAAATATAAAAACTTTGAATATTTGATGAAATGATTGACAAATTGGATGAGAATTCATAAGAATTAGTGAATCACAAGTTGAGGTCATTGTTCACATGTGGACATCGATGGGACCATTGATGTTATTGACACTAAAACCATCATCTATTGATCATTGTTTGCAATTATTGTCACCTTGATTCAATTCTTGATCTCAAAAAAAGTGTTAATCAGAACTTTAATGATATATAAAAACAAACGAATAGAATAACAGAACGAAATGCAATTCCTTAGCACTCAATACCTATTGAATGCAAAACTAAAGTAAAACTTTTGAAGCACTCGTATACTGAAGACAATCGCAGAACAACTGCCATCACAGACCACGCAATCTCTTCATCTGCTATCATAACTCACTTCAAACATGTGTTAAGTCCTTCACCAATACTAGCGCTGCATTGAATTAGTTATACTTTTGTCTGTCTATCCGTTCAATTTGTCCGTCCATTCGTATAAAATACAGAATTCAATGGAAATAACTTACAATATTTGAGAATATATTCAACAGTAGAAATACACCTCTCCCGCACCCAACCAATCATAGACTCTCTCTCTCTCTCTTTCTCTCTCTCTCTCTCTCTGCCTGTCTTTCTCCCACTAATTGAAATATTCTTATACAGTATGTTATATGATTTCATGGATTCATGGTTTGTATGCAATCTTGTTCGACAAACCCTTGTTAGAGATCTACTGTTTGTTTGGATAAAATAAGTCCACTTTTGATCCATTAATGAGAGGGAGACTAAAATAGAGTAGATATTTGTCATGAAATGACAATCAATTTGTTTGATTTAAGAGCCTTTGAGTTGAGGGCCAAATGATAGCTCGATTTGTATGATTCAAACCATACAGTAATGATTTTATTTCATAATAAATGCTTTTAGAATTGTTACAAATGATATCATTTTAGAGTTACAAATAAAATCTATTTTGCATTTTATTTCGTTTTGATAATACATAAACCTAATCTCTTGTTTGCCATATAAATGTAATAAATATGCAAATATTCTTTACATATTAAATTGATTTACTAATAATATAAATTGTTTATTTTACACAAGTATTAAACAAAAATAAAACTTAATTAAGCTATCAGATATGTTTTTAAGCATTTATAATTAGCTGTAATTGCAGAAATTAAACGTATGATTATAAAAAATTATTATATTGAGTGATACTGTGTCACAGCACCTGTATCATCTGTATCACCTACAAAAATTGGTAATACAATATTAAACCATATTTACAAAAGAGTGAATAAAATAAATGATTTAATTTCTATTTTCAAGAAATGTTTAACTTTTGTCATAATAATAGTGTATATATTGTGAGAAAATAATTTATGAGCGAATATACATTTGAAAAGATAATATTTATATACATAGAAGTCATAAAACTATACGTTTGGAGTGTTTTGAACGCAATGTTAGTTAAGGTATTAATGTTTTATGAGATTTAACTCTTAGTCGTCGTCATAGCGATGAGAAGTAATATCTTTGACTAAAATCGGGGAAAATATTTAGACAAAAGACCTGTTTGTGAGTGAACTACAAGTGCTGTGAATCTAACTTTAATAAAGGTATGGCATCTCATCTCATCTCATGTTCTAATTCTGTTGCAAACCATACAAACCATAGACAGCACTGACAGGGAATGCAAGCTTTGCTTCACTCCATGTATGAGTCATCCAATGCATGGCTTTTAGCGGAGTTGGAGTTGGAGTTAGCCTTAGCTTACAGTGTATACAGTGTGTTGGAGTGGAGTGGAGGGCCGTGGATGTAGTACCTGATGCTTCAATCGATTTCATTGATTAAAATTTGTCACCTTTTTTCCATCGTTCCATTCACTGCAACCAACACTGCTTTCACTACTTATAGCAGTTTCTGAGACTCGAGGGAAACCTAAACTCAAAAATGATGTTATCTTACAGTTTGTTCGCTTCAATGCGTGCACTAAATGTGCAAACCTTTCAATTCTGAGCTCTAATCCATTAAACAATATTCCGGTTAAATATTTCATAAACAATTGTCAAAATGCTTTAAATAATAGACTTTAAATTAAATTTTAGTATATACATTTATATATTTATATTTTGAACATTCAAACAAACTTCTGAAATATTGCGAACAATACATCATATCAACGCTTAGACGACATAAAATCAATACCAACCCACTAGTCAGCCCTAACTCTCTGTAATATTAGCTAATATTATATTTGATAATAGGGTGAAAATAGAGAGATAATGCCTATTATTATGACAATCAGTTCCCCTCTCATGTATAATCTCTACTAATTTGTGACTCAACAGTCTTTCGCTTTATTCACTCCATTCCACAGCAGATCACAAGAATTTAATCCTTTATTAAAAATGAGGGGAATTTTTATTTCAATCAAAACTACTTTTATTACGAATTCTTTATTTGAGAAAAGAATAAAAGAAAATACAAACGAAACGATGTATTGATATAAACATGAGATGATGTTTAATATGTACACACATATGAGTAAAGTTTTAAAATATTCTACAAATCCTACCCACCTTATTCTCTTATTCATGATATACTGATCAATATTATAAATATTACTTGAGGTTATAAATGATATGAATGAACACACAACTTAGACTCAATCGTAACTATTATATAAATAATATATGTTTTGTGCATTTCTAACACAAAGAAAAGTTATTAATAAATTATAATATATGTTTGATTTGCAAACATTTATTTATTCAAATTAACTCCTTTGGAATATTTTTAAAAAGATTGTACAATTATACAATATATTCATTTATGTCAGTAACATACAGTATAATTTTATATAAAATAAATTATTATAGTATTTTATATTTATAAAGTACTAATTGAAAATAATGTACAATATTCCCGCAAATTCTATGCACTATCATGATTTAAAAAGATATACGGTAGTAGATTCTACATGCAACGTATAATCTGTTTGTTTAGTTTATTTCTGTTTTATTTGTTTTACTGTTAAACTAATCAAAGAATTATAATTTATTGACAATAAATAAGAGAATCTCTTAATTTTAATTGTAATATATTATATCAATATTTTGCGATAACAATATTGACTTTTGTTAAACTAATATTGAATTCTTAATAAATACGTGGGAGAAATGAAATTGAAAGGGATGTGAGAAATAGGGCAGGGTTAATGGCATTTATAATCAATTAATTAAAGCATTAAATTTAATCTTAATATATTTTATTTAATATTAATTTATTAAAACAATAATTAATAAATTGAATTATTGGTTGATAGTTAACATGATCAACAAATATAAATAAATTGTAATACAAATATTTAAAAGTTTAATATATTGTAATAAATATAAAATCAAAAAGTTTGGACTTTTTTCAACAATTATATGTTTAAATATCTTTGGTTTTGTCTGAGTTTACATTAGCCGTCAAATCAATAAGTTTCCTAAAAATACAGTACAGTATAAGGAATTAAATAAAATTTACAAATATTATTAAAATTTGGGAATAAATACGGTATCTATAGCTTACCGTCGAAGTCGAGTGGCCTTTAGTTTAAGTTCTTTCTCTTTAACCTTAATCTCTGCGAATCGATTCCACGCCTTTTCATAATTAGTTTGTTGGACAACCCATCGGAGGTATAGTCCGCTCCAGAGTTCCTGAATTTATAACCAATAAAATTACATTAAAAATAAGGATTTCGATGTAAATGACAGGTGAATGACAGACCAGACTCTGAGGCGCCACCGACGGCCAAATCACTTTACAATTTGGTTCATACGACGGGTTTATAAACTCGTGAATTATTTCCGGTCTATTAATGTAAGACCAAAGAGAGACCGTTTTCTTCGCAAAATTCATGTCTTTCCGGTCTTTAACACAATTACCCAAAAAAGTGCCGAATTGTGAGCCATATGTCTGTTCAAAGATATATATCAAAAACTTCTCATTGAATTCAAACGAACACTTGAATTGATTGAAGATTTGATAGACACAGTCCAGGAATACTAGAAATATTGGCGACTGTTCTCTGGTTCTGGCGCTGGGAATGGTATACGCGCTGTGCTTACAGCGAGTGGCGAATGGATGGCCCGCTTGTAACCACTCGCGCTCTATCAGTGCCTCAAACCCATGAACTGTACGGCAGTCGGGATTGAGAATGACTTGAGTTAAGGAACAGACTTGAAGAGTGGAATCCATTCCTTCTGATCCGTGCACTAAGACTGAGGCCACTAAACATCATATCATTGTATCAATGATTAAAACATTATATTTTCATAGAAAGGGACTCACATTCTTGATCCATGCATTGGGCCACAAGACAGGCACTACTGAGTACATCCTTGATGTGTGTCAGCCAACCACAAGACTCTAATCTTGATAACCATTTATCCATCGAAGTCTTCGTGTCATTACAGGCTGTCATCAAAATAAATGCCTTCAAAACAATGAATAAGTGAATCAAATAATACCTTCAATTAATTTGCTTAAAGAGTCTAAAAGAGTTGAATGTCTGTCTATAGGCTTATGGACGCGACGCCAGAGTGGGTAATGGACTTCGGGCTCAAAACCTCCGCCTTTAGTGCGCGCGAGTTGTGCCAAGTTTTGAGTTCGCGTTTCTATGATATAACCCCTCTTTCCAGAACCTAATACTGTATTAATTAATTTCTCGTCGTCTTTGCATCTCTTGGAATTGGTTCCGACCATCGGCTGACCACTTCTTAACAAAACCGTCTGATAATGGGTTCAAACAATTAGTTCATAAAAATTAAGTTTCCATTCATTTGAATGCATTGACAATACTTTAGCAGTTCTGTGGAAATAACTGAGAACTGGGAACCGACCCAAACATCGGAAGGAGGCGATGGATGCGAGACAGTCGTCGTCAATAGGTTTGGGAACTATCACTGCTTCCGGATATGAGGGACACACCTAATGGCAAATGCATTCAACTCGACTGTAAGTGAATGGGAGGGACACTACATATATGGCAGACATTACAGCGAAGTCTTTGTTGACATAACTGATCCGCCAGTCGTCCGAAAACATGAGAAGATTGGAGAACTCGGTTTCAATTCGGAAGGCATTCCATCCGTTTTCGACCAAATCATACATCGCTCGGTAGAAGTGGGGGTACAGGAGGCGGGGGTCGTCTAAGTTGGACAACCACTCCATCGAATTGCAGACGTTATTGAATTCCATCCATCCGTTGATCTCCAACTCAATGATCCGAAAGTCTTTGCACTTCAGCACAACTGTTCCGCCGCTGGAGTTCACGTTAGGCTTGCGCTCAACGATGTCCACCATTGAGTGCAACAGCTGTCACACAAAGACATAGCAATTGGTGGTCAAGACATAGCAATTGGTGGTCTCATGGCTCGCACACTATTGCAGTTATAATACCCATAACTCTTGCGTTGTGTCACTTCTGGAGGAGACAATCAGGTGGTGACTAGTGATGCAAAGGGTGGCCTCCATGGACTGGTCGATGGGATACGCCACTCGGATTGCATCCAATTTCGGGGTTTTGATGAGTTCTGCGAACTCCATACCAATCACTGTCTTCACACTTGATCCCAATTAAGACACCAATCAATGAGTAAATCGCGATTCAAATGAGTGTTTGTTTGCAATTCACGTCATTTCACACAACACTCACTCAACCACTCATTGGGCCCTCTGTTGGACACTCCATATGCCTATCATATCACTCATCACTCTTACAGTGAAGTGAACTCTAACTGTAAGACAATTCTCTTACAGTTTGGCATTCAGTATAGAAAACTTAGAAATAGAAATCAATTCATCATATAATCTATTTGATGTCATACACCATTCCTATTATAAGTAGCTTGCTTATTTGTAATTCCACTTTTCATATAACTTATTAACATTGTAACTTATAACTTTGGTAACGATAGTAACCCAAGAATATTACAGAATCCATACAAACAAAAGTTTCGATTCTGAAACAGGAGTTCCCAACAGATGATGGCTTTCTCTGATACCCATTTAGAAGGAGTCACCATTGGATCAGTTTGGAGGAGAGAGAAGATAACCAAAGAAAATGAGTCTCAAACCCATGACATAGAATATATAGAAAGGGGTGTTCAACACATATCTATGAATAACACTGAAACGCAAACTTCAGACTTAATGGATATCCACTTCACGAGACCATTGAAGACATTTAATTCACCAGAACTGACAAAATTTGTAATAAAAGCCTCGGAGATCACTATTGAAGAGATCAAGAAAGTGAAAAGCAATGACGTGNATGATGTTTAATATGTACACACATATGAGTAAAGTTTTAAAATATTCTACAAATCCTACCCACCTTATTCTCTTATTCATGATATACTGATCAATATTATAAATATTACTTGAGGTTATAAATGATATGAATGAACACACAACTTAGACTCAATCGTAACTATTATATAAATAATATATATTGTGTGTATTTCTAACACAAAGAAAAGTTATTAATAAATTATAATATATGTTTGATTTGCAAACATTTATTTATTCAAATTAACTCCTTTGGAATATTTTAAAAAAGATTTTACAATTATACAATATATTCATTTATGTCAGTAACATACAGTATAATTTTATATAAAATAAATTATTATAGTATTTTATATTTATAAAGTACTAATTGAAAATAATGTACAATATTCCCACAAATTCTATGCACTATCATGATTTAAAAAGATCTACGGTAGTAGATTCTACATGCAACGTATAATCTGTTTGTTTAGTTTATTTCTGTTTTATTTGTTTTACTGTTAAACTAATCAAAGAATTCTAATTTATTGACAATAAATAAGAGAATCTCTTAATTTTAATTGTAATATATTATATCAATATTTTGCGATAACAATATTGACTTTTGTTAAACTAATATTGAATTCTTAATAAATACGTGGGAGAAA